CCAGATGACTCATTCGCTAGTATCAAACCCAAAAGATCATCAAAAACCTCATTCAATTGTTTGTATCTATCCGAGCAGTTCAGTTATCTCAAAGTTTATACTGACACATTTTTCATATACAATAATACATTATAAATTGAAAATATTTCTTAAATAATCGTACAAAATCAATAAAAAGGAAAATATAAGTAGTTCTATTCATACATAGATATTTTAAAACATAAATATTATAAAAAAAAGATAATTTTAATTATTTTTAAATTTAAAATATATTTGCTTTATTTATAAGCAAGCATTTCACAGTTAGTTATCACTATTATTTCATCTAATTACTTGGCATAGATTATGTATTTATTTATTTATCATATTTTAAAAATATATTTGATATATATTATATATCAAATTTATATATTTTAATTTTATTAATGCATTTTCTTCGGTATTTGCTAATGCTTAACAACAAGTATGGCTCAGTGTGAAGAGCTCATGGCTATGTAGGCCCAACCGCAGTGGTGGTGGGCACTGGCCATTGTTGTGGACACAGGTGTAATTTCTGGGGGAAAACGGGTGAGATTTGTAAAGCATCCCAGCCGTTGGATGCGGAGACTTGACCGTTAGCAGCCGATTTGCCCTAGATAGTTTAAACTGTAAAGTTAATTCAGGATAAGATTAGTCGATAAGTTACTTTATTTTATTTTATATTATAAAAACATGAAAAAAAAAGAAAAAACATAACGGTGTTGAATTTTAACTAGTCCAATATAATGTGAATGAAATAAATGTGCTTTACATTCGAGTTAAATTTTGCTCATACTTTTTTTATATTTTTATTTCATATTTAATTTAATCGGACAGTAAAACTTAAGTTTTTAAAGTCTTGTAATGCTTATCCCATTAAGTCAAGCTAAGTAAGGCCTTTGCCTTATGGATCCTTTTCGATTCACCCCTCTACAAATGCTCCTTTTTTCCATGGTCGATCTCCTACACTCGACTGGAATGGGTTTGTTGTCTCTCATCTTCTTCATTTGGCTTCAACAACTTTTACACACCATGTGTTGAAGATGAAATTGTTTTCACTGATGAGGAATTCCATGAAGGGTGCAAATAGTTGAATCTTGCCTTGGTGGGTTGCACTCTTAGAGAACATTCCTTCTATGATGACATTCATGTTATTTTAATATATGTTGATAATTATGTCATTAAGAGAAAGACCTTGTGGGCTACCATATCCTCCCTTATTGTTGATGTTACTGATCATTAAATCCTTGCTGGAGACTTTAACTTCATTTACTCTTCTTCATATTTGACTATATTTCATTGCATCGCTTAACTAATACAGAACAATGTAAAGTTAATTGTATAAATAGAGATCATATTTTGTACGAAGAAGAATTAAGCGGTGCATTGTGATATGATTGAAAATAAAGAAGAAATTGTAATGATGAAGAAAAAGCTAAAACACATTCAAGCTCTCAAACGAATGAAGCCAAATGTTCACTTACAAGAGTCTATGCAAAAGCCCAAGAAAGTATCAAATTAAGAGGCTATTCATTACCCATCACATGACTAATATCAAGAATAAATATTTTAATTTGTATTTTATTATTTATATTTCAATTTTAAATTTTAGAAAGTTTGAACTTTCAAACTTAGAGGAACATTTCTTCATTATTGATAGTTGGCACATTTCTTCATTAATGACCACTTATTATTCCATAAAAATATCCTTATCCTTTTACTTTTATTGACCCTTTTTATCATTATAATACATATAAATAGGGATGATATGTAATGAATTTTGATCAATTGTTCAATAAAATATTTGAGTGAGAATTTTCTCTCTTGTTGCTTGGTGTTCGTTGGCTTCAAATGTTGTCATTTCTTTGGTGAGATTAAATATTTATCTTTGCTTTTATTATAAGTTTTTTATTATCTCTCCATAACACTTAATATAAATATTCACAACCACCCCTCATCTGTATCCTAAATATCTTTTAATATTAATAACCACAAACCAAAGCCTTACAATTATTCTAAACCTATTTATAGCTCTTGGCCAAGCCAGAGCATATTAAGGCATAGTTTTGTATTACATTCGAGTTTTGTATTACATAGTTTTGTATTACATATTTATCTTTGCTTTTAATATTAATAACCACAAACCAAAGACTTATCATGGCCTAGCAAAATTTCACAGATCTTAAAATAAAGCATTTGAGCTATTACAAGTGTTCAATATATTTTTTTTTTTTATATATATTTTAGTCAATATATATATATATATATATATATATATATATATATATAGGGAAACAAAAAAAACGTTGAACCACCGCGTAGCGATAAAAATGATACTACCGTGATTTTCAAAATGCGGAGACAGAGAGATTACATCAACATTAAAAAAAAAAAAAACATGAAAATAAATTTTATTCCAAAAATACATTGAAATTACATAAAAGCACTAAAAAATTAGTTTGAGATAAAATACTTTATAAAAAGGGTTAGCCACTGCTTGAGCCAACACATACCCCAACTGAAACTGCCTCTTATACAAGATTTTCCTGCAAACCTAAACTTATTCAGTAGATCCTTATTATCTAGAACATGAAGTATCAAGGATCTCTCTTAGATGTCAGACAGTTTCTAATGAAGATCGGCCACCGCCTCCTCCATCCTCTTCACTTTCTCCATACGAGCCAACAATTTGTACATCTCCTTGTCTTGTTGGATCCATACCGACCGAGCAACTAAACTTTTCGTCTAGGCGGCGAGCCAATGATCCAGAACATGTCCGGGGCCCATCAGCTGCTTCCCTGCGTGTCTCGACAGGATCTATTGGCAGTCAACCCTGCCATCCTCACTCGAGTCGTTCACCCTCACTTTGTGCTTCTTTCGCCGCTGTTGGCACCTCTGTTGGATTCCCACCAATGTCAGCCATGGCTAAATCCTCACACAGGTCTCTCAAAACTGAGTCATCTATGCTAACAAAATAACATAAATCAAAAGGATTTAGAAAAAAATAAAATCTAACAAATAAAGTTGAGGCTCCTCATACCCAAGAATCCATCCAACTCAGATGTCGTAATCAACACAAATCCCTCACCATATGATGAGAGGGCATCAACATTCTCTTGCACAACCTATTTGATCGTCAAGTCTTGTGTCACAACAAAAGGTTAGGCTGTCAGATTGATGGGGTCAATCAGCTAAATATTCCTCCGCTCATCACTGAAGAACAAATCATACGACCCCAACATATTCAGCATTGAGAGTGCAACCACTTCTCTCTTCTTAATGATGATTTTTTTCTTTTGTTTACCTTCTTGGCAGTCCCGTCCTTTCAGTTCCTGAAGTCAAAATGTACAGATCTTTGTTAGGGATATCACTCGAGGGGTTTAATACACTCTTCGTCACAACACCCAGAAGTAGACTAATTAAAATGAGAGTCAATGACCAAATAAGAAATGAGTCTTATTGCACCTTATTTATAAAAAAACAAGGTATATAAATCAAGGGAGTTCAATCATTGAATCGTTAATTAATAATAATTGTAATCTACTATTGCAAAAAAAAAAAATATTCATCGCTTTCAAAAAGTAAGAAAATTGGGGAACTAAAATATGTACATAAAAATGTGTTAACACTAATCTTGAGGAGATCTAACAAATCAAAAGAGAAGAGTACGATGAAGGATGACCCAATAACATAAAATCATGAGACATACTTGTTTGACCAAGCAAAGCTAGCAAGGCCAAAGACGATCAAGCTACGAGACTAATCAAAAGATGACTAGATAACCTAAGCTCGAGCCATTAGGTCAAAGATGAGACAAACAAACAAATGGGCCAACCACTATCAGAAAGACGACCCATGGCAATAGCCAACCCTCCCATAGAACTGATCTAAAGACCCGGTTCCACGATATATCCAACCATCAGAGAATGCCCAAGAAACTTATCGTTAGGGACAAAGGGTTAACAAACACGTCGTACAACCGACTGACCTATATTGACCAACCTCAGCCGACTAAGCTGATTTGAGCCAACAGAGTTGATTCAGCTGACTCGAAGCAAATCGATTTCAATCGACCAAGTCAGAAAGTTGACAAACGACCGTCTTACATATGTAAAATACCAGAAATATCCCATTATTGAGCAAGAAAATAATGTAACGTCATCATATTATACTCTCTCCTCTATAAATAAAAAAAAATTATTTTATGAATTCAACATAATTGATCGCGACAGCTTACTGTTTAGCCTCTTTCTATCTCTATCTCCAGCTCTCCTTATTTATGCTCTCTTCCTTTAGCTGAATTCACAAACCAATCAGAATTCAACATTTGTAATTAATATCTCGAACATAAACTTCCACATTAACATACAAAATATTTCACTTCTTTAAAGCTATGAATGAAGATATATATTTAACTTTGAAAAAAGAAATAATAATTATTTTTGGTTTGATGTGATGATAAAGATTTGAGTGCTATGCCCGTAAATATAAAAGTTTAGCTGATATATACAAGTACATAAAAATTATGTGCTCTATATGTCGATGCATCTTTCCCATACACCTATCCAAACACACACATACCACATATACAACAACTTAAACTTAACCTCTTGATTGAAAGTTAAAACTCTCAATCATTTTCCCAAAATAGTTCCGTACCCATAACATTATCTTGGATAAACTAAACCCCATTAGCCTTTAATCCACACAATCCTAGTCTATTATCATTACTAATCGTGATTTAAGCATGTAATTAGGTATAAGTGCTTCTCACATCGGAAACTGTGGGGGGAGGACTGGAATTATCTTTCGTCACACGTGGCTGCTTTGGGCCCCACGCGTCCTTGACCGTAGGGGACATTGCCCCGGTCCAACATTTCGCCGGCTGGGGTGCCGCGGGCGGGGGCGGGCCTTAAGCGTGCGTTTTGACAATCGGGCAGCGGGCAGCGGGCAGCGGGCAGCTTCCCCGGGTAGCCAATGGCCCTCCTCCGGTCCACCCCTGCGGTCTGCATGCGAGGTCCAGAGGGCGACCACCTCACTTTCTGCTGACCAAAAAGACATCCAGCGATTTTTCTCAAAGAAGAATAGAGAAAGAAAAGAGAGGAAGAGAAAAAAAAGGTTGGGTATAATATTCTCCAGATCGGCGGTGCATTAGCTTGAGATCGCATCTCTGTTGCTGAACGTGGGCTCTGATTTTCATCGAGAGGATTGCTGCGGGATTCGAGTTTTTGACGAGGTGTCTGGGGAGTCTGGGTGTGTTAAGAGGGGATTTTGTAATGGATCTGCGTTCTTTGTTGCAGTAGGTGAAGGATTTGCGCTGGAGAAATGGAGATGTGGATGCGGGAAGCCATGGAGAGGTGGTTTCTGTGCTTCATCTTGGTTCTCCATCCTCTTGCTAGAGTTCTCGCTAACATGGAAGGTATGCGATTGGCTTATTCATACTCTTGTGTTTTTTTTTTTTTTCTATTATTCCTTTATCTAATGATGATTGAGCCTGGACGGCAACGGAGATCCGGCTGTTTACAACACACGCGTGGTTAATCTTTCTAGTTGCTTTTAATGGTTGAATGATCGTCTGTGATGTGGTGGACTAATAAAATTTGAGAGATATTTCGGGGAATGAAGGGAAATATGTGGTTATGGTTTAATTGGGGGCATTTTCTTATATTAAGCTGGGATATGTTTTCTTCATTAGACATAATTCTACATTTAGAAGATTTATTTTCCTCCCTATCTGGAGTGTGCGAGTTTAGTGGAGGAGCAAATCCTACTGCTGTCACGACTAGTTCTTTTATCCTTTAAATAGCTGCGAAGTTCTTTTAAATTATTTTGTTTTACATGGTGTTTTCATTGCTCTTCTTCCCCTTAATGCCTGAACAGAGGTGTTAGAAGTGTATTTTTTAGATTCTTTCCAGTTATATGGTTCTGCAAACAGATATAGTTGTACAAGATATGCTGCAGATTTAGATATAGAACGAGCATAGCACATTTTGCCTAACAGGAAATAAAGATTCATCGCAGGCAAATGTAGAAGAACAAGGCTTGTGTTAGTATTTCACGAAATGTTCATCCTGAACTTCAATTTATCACATTTTCATTGTATTAACTATGAACCAAATCATGATTCAAAATTTGTGATTGCTTTCATTCCAATCCTACAAAGCTGTTTATCTAGTGATGAGCTTGTTTTTTGATATCTTTCTGCTCTACTTCTTATCTACCCAAATAGTGTTGAGCCTTTTTAAATATGTAAGTCCAACAGTTTAATAGGGAACGTGAGGATAGTGCAGAGCTTTTGATTGTATGAAATCTGCTTTCTTGCTTTCCTTACACTGCCATCGTTCATGTCTCTTATTTGTTGCTCTTTATTAGTTGTATGGATATACATATTTACAGACTGTCATTAGTTGCTTTTTAAAGTGAACATTTGCAGTGGAGCAGTACTTAGCATTTTCTTTATTCATAATATGACATGTACAACTAAGATTAAAATTTTGTTTTGATTGATTCTCTTAATGCCACCATCATCATCAGTCTCATCCAGACTTTTTTCTTTCATTTATTTTATGAATCATTATTTCCATTCATTCTTAGTGAGTATTGTATGAGGCGCTAATCTTATTTTGCTTGACTTCTAGCCTTATTATCTTTGGCCTATCCTTTTTCTTTTGAATCCTACCACATTAATTTTTCTAACATATTATGAGTGCATATCACGGCCTTCATTGCACATGGCGGAATCACTTAGATCTATTTTTCACTTACCTCTTGTTGGCATTGCTCTCATTCCGCTCTATTAAAAATATTCCTCATTATATAAAACTAGTTTTCTTTTGCATCTGTTTTAATATTTTTTTTATTTTTGCCAAATTTATTTTGATTATCAATTACTTGCTTATCTCAACACATGATTCTGCATCCATAGTTGGTATAATTGTATTTTTAATAGAGTTTATTTTAAGGCCCCATGATGTTTTATTAGCGAATAGTATATTACTCCTTGCTTACTTTTTAACCACATAGCATTAACTTTAGAAGTTATGTTCTTGTATATAGACTTTATTTATGCTAGTTCCAAGATACTTGTCACATCTACATGTCACTTTATTTTCCAACCATATTTGACTTATATTTATCATTTACACGGACACTAAAATTTTTATTATGTGCTTTGAACTAGAGAATTAAATGACTAGAGGAATTAATGTTACATTACTCAGGTTCTCCCTTGTTAGGATTTATAAGTCTTGGTTTGTTTGTATTTATTTATTTTTTGTTGTTGCTGATGTTAAAGTTCACATTCCAATCCTTAAAATGACAAGGGCTTACCTTTTTTTTTTTATTTTTGTTAATTTTTTTCCTTTTCAATGATGTTTAGGCGTGTTTGTCTGTATTGTAGAGTTTTTGATCTACCCACTATTCTCAGTTAATTGGCTCATAAAATTGCTATTCCTACAAATCTTTTTGTGATTCAGACGGCCTTTCGTCGCTTTGAACTCTCTATGATCATGTTACTGTTGTTGTTGCGAGATCTAGATATTCCAGTTGATATGGTACATATATAAATCAAACAGGAGAACGATCGACGAAGTGAAAAATAGAACGAGAAAAAACAACACAGCAGAACACACAGATTTACGTGGTTCGACGAATTGCCTACGTCCACGGAGTTGCAGAGGATTTTACTACTTGAGAATTTTACACCAGTCGATCACCTCGACTTACAAGAGAAATTTCTTATTCTTCGTTGCTCTCTCTATTATTCTCTCTCTATTATTCTCTCTCTATACCGAGATACACCGAAGAAGTCAAACTTACAAGAGAAATAAATCCAATTTCTCTTCTGCCACAAGCCACAAGAAGAAGCCTAGGGAGAACAATCTTCTTCTTCCTTCTTCCTTCTGCTGCAAGGAACTGCTCCTCCTTGCACTTCTCTTTCTCTGCCCCAAGGAAATCTTTTTCTATCCCGAGGAAATCGAAGAACTCAAAACTTGACTTCAAAACCCAAGGAGAGCCATCCGAAGTTTTTATCACGAACAGAAGGGAGCGAAGAGATGCTTCACTTCACAAAAGAGGAAGGCGGGAGTGGTTATTTGTGAAGAGGTGTGACTCTCCAAAGCAAAGGAACCGCCCAAGCATAGTGGATCGGGCTTCACCGTTTCTAACAAGTCTCCCACTTAGAAACCGGTACACAGGATGCAACATCTCCTTCCTCAAACTAATATCCTCCACTGACGGTGTCGTCATTTTCTTTAACATGTAATGATCCACTATGAATTCTCCAACTTGAGTCCTCCACCATGAATCATCTACCTTTGCAACTCAAAACCTCTGTCTTCACTCTAGAAGACCAACTGAAACTGCACCTCCACATAGCTTTGCACCTCCAAGCTATTTCCTGGGTCACTCTTGTTTCTTCTTACAACTCTCACTGCATGGGCAACATCCTGTCTCTGCTGAAAGCCTTTTTCAACAAGTTCAGCCTTGTACCTCTTACTGACATCACACTCAGTCTTCATCTGGTATACCCACTTGTTGTGCGATGCCTTCTTCCCTGGTGGAAGTTCTGCCAATTCCCACTTGCTCGAACTTTTATCTTGCAAGATTCTTCATAGCTCTGTGGTTTTTCAACATCTATTTGTGGAACAATATGAATGAGTGCCCCGAACCCACTTTCTTCTTCACTACCATCACTGCCCTGCACTGTGGCATGTGGTAGATTTACTACCACATTTAAAGCCTCTGAAAGCCCCTGATTCTACCACATTCAATGCCCCTGAATCTAAAACTATGAACTGTCAACAATAGTAAACTGTCAACAATAGTACATCCTGTAATTCTTCAGATACCACATTTGCGCTATCATTCTCCATCTTTTTAGGATTCTTGCAGTTATTCTTTATGTGACCAGCCTTGCCACAATTTCAGCAGGTTGACTGCTTACTAAAATTAGATTTTGATCTCTCTATACTTGAGTTCCTGTCAATCATGTCATGTCCCTCTGTAATCAACATTCAGTGCCGAACTCGAACTTGAGACCTAGCCAGAATCTTTCTCAGAATCTTTCTTGCAAACTTCATCAGCCAAAATCAAATCACGAATATCATCGTATTTTAATTTAGATTTACCCGCAGAACTACTAACTGTTATCATTATGGCTTCCCAATTATTTGACAATGAAACCAACAAGATCAGTGCACATATCTCATCATTAAAATCAATTTTCACGGATGACAATTGATTTGTGATAATATTGAAATTATTCAGGTGTTGAGCAACATAAACGCCTTCCACCATCTTCAAATTGAATAACTTGTTCATCAAGTGCACCTTGTTATTCACCGATGACTTTTCATACATACCTGATAAGACTGTCATGATATCTGCAGTCATATTTTCCTTAACGACGATGTGTGCAACAAACCTCGATAGGGTCAATCGAATAACCCCCAGAACTTATTGATCCAACAAATTTCATTCAGCATCATCCATCTTTTCAGGTCTTTTTTCTAATAACAGAAGATGTAGTTTCTTCTAATAAAGATAATCCTCTATCTGCATTCTCCAATGACCAAAATTTGTGCCATCAAACTTCTTGATCCCTGAAACCTTCACTTCATCTGCATCATCTGCAACCATCATTCTTTTTTCTCAGATCCGAAACCATGCTCTGATACCAGTTGTTGTTGCGATATCTAGATATATCAGTTGATGTGGTATATATATAAATCAAACAGGAGAAAGATCGACGAAGTGAAAAATAAAAGAAGGAAAATCACACCAGAATAGAATAAGATAGCGGAACACATAGATTTACGTGGTTCGGCAAATTTGGTTCGGGGTTCGGCAAATTGCCTACTTCCACGGAGTTGCAGAGGATTTTACTACTTGAGAAATTTACACTAGTCGATCACCTCGACTTAAAAAAGGAATCTCTCACTCTTCGTTGCTCTTTCTCTTCTCTCTCTGTTCTTCTCTCTCTATACCGAGATACACCGAAGAAAACTCTACACTGAGATACACCGAAGAAGACAAACTTACAAGAGAAATAAACCCAATTTATCTTCTGCCACAAGCCACCAAGAAGAAGCCTAGGGAGAACAATCTTTTTATTCTTCCTTCTTCTTCCTTCTGCCGCAAGGAACTGCTCCTCCTTGCACTTCTCTCCCTCTGCCCCGAGGAAACCTTCCTCTATCCCGAGGAAACCGAAGAAGAATTCAAAGCGTCACTTCAAAACCCAAGGAGAGCCATCCGAAACTTTTATCATGAACAGGAGAGAGCGAAGAAATACTTCACTTCACAAAAGAGGAAGGCGGGAGTAATTATTTGGTAAGATGTGTGACTCTCCAAAGCAAAGTAACCACCCAAGCATAGTGGACCGGGCTCCACCGTTTCTAACAGTTACCTGTGGCTTTGTATTGATCTTGCCGTATGATCTTCTATTTAGCGTCTCCTTGCAAACTTTGCAAACTTTATATTGGTTTGGCTGTGCAATCTTCTATTTTAGCAGCTTTCTATATATTTATTTCTAGTACCACTCGTGTACTCTCTACGCATCTGTCTTGTTGTTTTCTATTCTGCAGCTCTTTATTAAGTGTGACTTCTATATTATCTATGACTAATTAAGGGAACTAATAATTGAACTTATGATTATAAATAGGGTCATTACATGTACAAAAGTTCAGTTAGTGGTTGAAAATATCTAAGGCATGTGTGATTCCTTTTACTTCACTGATTATGTGCTTGATCAAGTAAGAGACTCGAAGAATAGGCTATCACTTTATTCGGAGCAAGACTTGTTTTTTTTACGAATTCTTTCAATTGTTCTTCTTTTTTTTTATGTGATTTGTTATTGTGTTTGAACGAGTGATTACACGTATTGAAATTTAATATATCTAGATTCCATCAAGTGCATGAATTACAAAACTACTGCGCATATGGCTGCCAAGGTTTTTTGTAATGCTTTAACTTACAAGGTTCTTCTTATAAGAATTCCCCGTTAAGATTTTGTTGCACTATAAATGTAATTTTTTATATGTCTCTTGATTTGTTATACTTTGCGTACAGGTGATGCCTTGCACAGCCTACGCACAAATCTGAATGACCCTAACAATGTGCTGCAGAGTTGGGATCCAACTCTTGTTAATCCATGCACTTGGTTCCATGTAACATGTAACAGTGAAAATAGTGTTATTAGAGTGTAAGTTGATGAACATAATACTGAATTTGATTTAATTTTCATGTTATTCCGAATGACTGCATTTTCAATCTTCTGTTTGGCTCTTTGATTGTTGTATTTCAGTGATCTGGGAAATGCACAGTTATCCGGTCAATTGGTCCCCCAACTTGGGCAGTTGAAAAATTTACAGTATCTGTAAGCTATCTAGTTCTTATGGATTTTTTGTTTTTCCTACGTTTGAATGTGCTTTTGATTTGCAAATATTCTCTTACTCTAGAGAACTTCTTAAGAAGCCATGACACATGCTTTCTTCTTTCTCTGTGAGCATTATTCATATTGAATTCTATCTTCTCTTACTAGACTTTTCAAGTTGTATGGCAAAAGAATAGATGTCAATTATCAAATGACTACTTATTCAACCTGCCGATTATGTCAGTGGTTTGGGGCAGATAATATGAAAATAAATACGTTACATCTACCTTAAATAGTTCATAATTTTTATTCTTTAAAAGCCATTAACCTTGTCTATTTTTAGATAAAAGAAAAGCAGCGTATGCTTGGAAAAATATCATGATTCGGTGGATGGATGCATTGATTCGCCTGGATATTTTAATTTTATTTTTCATAATTTTGCTTGAAAAAGATAAAATCTAAATTGGTGACATGACCCCTAATTTTCTCTTCAATGTTATCTTTTTAGTATTTTAGCATTGAATATATAGTAAGGCGTGCATATGATGCCTAATCTGTTAAGAATTTGGAATTTATAATAATTGTTGCCAATATACCTTAGCTTTAAATGTGGGAAAAATCATTATGTCCACGACAATTCCATGACAAGCATGTGGATATGATTATTGGCATCGGTTTTTATTTTGACACCCAAGGAGCGAGGACATGCACATAGCTAAACATCGTGGACAACATACATTTTGATCTTATTTTATCTATTCAAAATATTAATTGGGATCGATTTGTCAAATGCATCTTCAGTATTTAAAAATATTTTTTGGGGGTGCCACACCAATATTTTACTTTATAAAATGATAGCATGCCTGTTAGTTGTGCTTTACCCCGCCTTTTGGGCTGTTATCAAAGGGTAATGGCTTATGTGGACTCTAGGACTGTTTCGCCAACTTGGGGCTAGTATGCTTATGTTGCCAATATACCTTAGCTTAGGTGTGGAATGTTAGCATGAGTTTGTGAGACATTTATATTTGAAGCGAATAATGTGGTTGGATTTAATTTATGCGAACATTCATAATAAAAAGCCCTAGCTTGCTCCTCTCTTCAACTTTATCCGTCAAGAATAATATAACTTTGTTGAGCCATTCATGCTATATAAGACCGTCTCTCCAACTTTGGGTTATTGTGTGCACGTCTTAAACGATTATGTATGAGCTTTTAGCATGAGTTTGAGTGAGACATTTACATTTGAAGTCCATAGTGTGATTGGGTTTAATTTGTGGATACTCACAGTTAAATTCTCTAGCCTACTCCTCCCTTGTACTTTATGACTGAAGAACGCTTTTGTTGATTAGTTCATTCTATTTACAATTGCCAAATAATTAGTACCCTTGATGAACAAATTGATACTCATTCATATAATACCCACTTATATTTGTTCGTTTACATAATTGAATAAACTTGAACAAATGTTTAAAAGCTCATCATTTAAATGCATAGGCTTTAGCATTGAACTGCTTGTTCATATATGTTTGTGAGCATACGTGTTGTTGTTTATCTAGTAGCTCATTGAAAACTCAATAAAATGTTTATTTAATGATAGACTTAATTTCTTACTTAAAGACTTATACTATGTTTCTGTAACAAATTATGTATTATTCACTTTCAAAATAATGTATATTATAGGTATAAGTATGATAAAAAAGTCCAATAAGTAGCTAGATATATAAATCAAAGTATTTTTCTAATCATTATTTAGTTTTTGCAAAACATTTTAATAATACTTAGTAATTTTTTTCAATTATAACTAACGTCTATAAATTTAATTATGTTGATAATAAGGTTGAATGGTCAAATCATTATAATCTAATATATATTTAGTATGACACGACTTACGCTCGACAATGATGCAAAAGTTTATATGAAATCTTATAAACAAATTTGAGCAAGCATTTAAAACTTGATCCATTTTCTTGCTCTGCTAAAATTTTCTAAGAAAATAAATGAATGAACTTTAAAAAGGTAGTAATCGGATCGATTTGATTCGACTCATTTCAACTAAAGCAGAATGAATTTATTTATTAAAGCATGATAAGCATAGCAGCAAATGAAGCTTTTAAAGCTGGTTGTCATGGCCATATGTACCCATCAATTGGTTATGTGCGTGCAATTGGGGTTTGGTTGGTCGTGGCCCATGCCTAAGAAAGTATGTCTTTGAGCAAAGGTGGAGTGGAGCTTGCCGTGTTAGCATTTCGAAGGTTGCCTTTTTGAAAATGGTATTGGAGATCTACGGTGTGCAACTTTTTAAGCCTGTGTCATGTAACTAGTGTTTTTTTAAACATTCAGTGGGAAGAAAACCGATTTTGTGGAAGTTTCGATGATATGCTACAGTTGGACTTCATCCTCTTAACATATATTCGAGTCCAAGCTGGCAAAAATTTGGAGTCTTTTGCTCAGGCTTGGTAAAAAGGCGGTTCTCTTCAAACTTTGCCCATTGAAATGACCTGGTATAACAAGTGATGCGGTAATGTCAAACTTTAAAGTGAAGAGTATGGTAGACCATGGTTTAAATCTTAATTAACTTGCAAAATACTATGTTCTTTTTTTAGAATTACTAGTTTTTTATCACTTGTTTCTGATGATCTTGATCACATGCTTTTAAGGAGCAGATTTAATTGATCAGCATCTTTTACTTATGTATTCTCTTGACAGGGAACTTTACAGTAACACTATCAGTGGGATAATTCCAACTGAACTTGGCGATCTGGCAAACCTGGTCAGCTTAGACTTGTATCTTAACAACTTCACTGGCAATATACCTGATTCTTTAGGGAAGCTAACACAGCTCCGTTTCCTGTATGATAACTCAAACTTATGTTGTTATTTTAAATTTTGTTTATTCTTATGCTTATAATGTCCATTCATGGTTAGCAAAAGTTGCCATTTCTCATGAAGTCCTTTGTGTAGTTTTTGTTTAATTCTGAAGTCGTAGTTATTATTTTCTACCTTTATTAGAGCATAGACTGCTGCACTTCTTAAATCTACTATTAGTATTTCTAAGAGCACTAATGGATTATTTAGTCAAAATGCAATTCTTAGGAAATGACTTGTTAGTTTCTCTCAATTTGAAACCATACTCTTGGATGACTGAATTCTAGGCAATATAATGTGTGAAATATGTTTAACTTCCTGTTGTAGGATGTTTTTGGGTCTACGCTTCTTAATTAAACTAGATGATTTGTTGTATGTAAATATATTTTAGTTTAAAAATACTTAAATGAAAAGGATACCAATTAAAAGAAATACTTGCTTGTTGACGTTTAAAAAGTATTGAATCTAATTAGATTTAATTAAATTTAACTAATATTAAGTCATTTAATCCCGCTCTCATCCCATCAACTGTTCACGCTTCTGTTAGAAGTAGGACGTCTTCTGTATCTTCTTCATTGGCATGTCTCCAGTCTTCCCCCTTTGTGTTAGTTTCTCTCTGACGATCTTCCTTATTCTATCTTTTCGAAGTTCTTCGTTCCTCTCTACTGTTCTCTCTCGATCACAACAAAATCGTAGGTCCCTTACCTTTTTTTTCGTTGTTGTTCTCCCTCCTCGTTGATCTCTGCAGCACTTCACCACACTTCACCTAAGCCTTGCCGAAATTCCTGTCGTCGTGTGACGCCAACCCGCCAAAACTCGTGCAAAGTTCACTCATCCTTGTCCTGTCGCTCCTCCCTGTGCCTAAAGTCTCTAACACGAACTTACCTTGCACAATGCGTTATCGTCCCTGTCTTCCTCCACTTCCTCTTCTCCCTCGGTTCGAAACCCACACAACAACGTTGAAGCACTGCCTCATCTACTGCGATCTTCGACGCTGGAATCATGCACGAGCCTTCCGATCTCCTCTATCTCCCTACTTGGCACAGTGCTGCACAGAAAAGCTGCATTTGATCTTCTTCGTCATTCCGTACAACAGAGCCACGATCCCTTTCGCCTGTACCGTCCCTTAAGTAAGCTTCTTGTTTCGGTTGAAGGCAATCATTTTTAAGTTCTAAATGAATTAAATAAATGCAAGAGCATTTTTTGAAATATTTCAAATTTGAAGATTTTTAATGCAAATAAATTTCAAGAATACTTTCTAAATCAAATATGGAATATAATATTTGGAGATCCATGAAAGTATTTTGAACTTGCATGAGTTAAAACTTCTAATAAATGAGCTATGTATGATTTCAAATTGCTGCATATGCCTCTTTATGGAACGAATTGTCTCTTAAACACAAATTGCTGCATATGCCTCTTTATTGAACTGCATATGCTAACATATAAAGTCAAATGCCCGCATGTGTTGCAACTAATGTATTGAATGCTCAAATGCTAGGTTCAAGAATTTTGCTCAGGTTAATCAAACCACATTGTCTATAGGGCAGAGTTGTAAGTCCCGCCTAACTAGTTTAATATTTCTCCTTATAAGGACTGGAATTGACGAGTCTAGTAGTTTTGAAATAAACGTTCATATCCTAAAATATGAATTTACAAGTCCAAATCACCTAGTACAATCCTTCTACTTATAAGGATAACATTTGACAAGACTTAAACTAACAAAATTAAATGCCCCTGCTTTAAATTTAAAAGTTTAAAATATTCAACAGTCCGATGATGACCGATTTGATAGAATATTTCAACCAAAAGAGTTGATCTTTAATATCAAGTTTTTTCAAAATAACCAACTAATATGCAAGTAAAATTCAACCACTTAAAAGCTAAAAGCAAAAATCTGTCCGCACTTTTCAACAATTTATCAAGGGTGGCAAATTTTTGATTGATTTCAGCTCCGAAAAAGCGAATGCCATATCAAATGTATCAATATATTTACAATCAAAGTAATTGCATGCCAGTAAGGACATGACACAAGTTCTTTGTCCGCGTGGTTTTGCTGCCAAATGACATCATAAAAATAGCGGTTATGACCAAAACCCTCTTACCGGGTGGTTGCCGCCAATTGACATCATTATATTACGGTCACGGTCGCAACCCGTATGTTTCATAATAGTTTTCTATCATTTGAGTTGTGAATCATAAGTGTGCAATTGATTGACATCAAACTTTTTGTTAGCTAAGGTCAACTTAAATTTGTCCACATAGATAGACATCCACCCATGGCTGCTGACACGAATTCTTCTGTCAGGTTAGGTCGACTACCTCCTATGACTAAGTAGATCAGGGACCATGACGACCTGGGATGATGGAACCAGGGGATCTTGATCAGGTTTCATCTTCATTCTCGTCATCCGCTTTAAGCTTCAAATGATGAATTCTACAATTTAAATCTTAAGTTTGCTGCAATTGTATATTAAATACTCAATTTTTAATGACTAGCCTTAATCGAAAGTGGTCTTCAGTTATCGGGAGGGGTAATTAATCATAGGGGTTTACACCTATGGGAAAACTCAAACCCCATATCAAAAATTCCTTGTTAAATGAGGGTGAAATCTCTGGGTAGTGTTTTATCTACAATCTAATCCGTCTTCTGAAAATTCAACCCTCCCAAACCCTCTCTAAAAACAAAAATAAAATAAAATGTAGAGAGTTCTCGGAGAGCGTTCGTTAATTTTCGGAGCCTGCATTGCTTTCTTTTGAATTAAACTATAAAACATCATATATCCAAACATAATCTAGCGTCTTTTAAATCAAAGAAATCAAAATAAAATGAGGCCATAAAAATCACAAGCTGAATGGGATTCAGACCGCAATAAACAAATTCGGTTTGTATTAGATTTGATCAAATTCGATCATGCTTACAACATTTAATAGAAAACTATTTTGAGTAGAATAAAATAAAAAACAAGTTTTCAAATCAAGAATATTCATAATTTGATTATCAATCAAAGTGTAAGGGCCACCCGCCGTTTTTGCACGAAGTGGAATTCGAAGGTTGATCTACTAAAAAATGCCATTGCGAAATTGCATCATGTTACAATTATCTCCAATAAATCTTATGCTCAGATCCCCAGTCTCTCCCCTTCTTGTTAACCTTCTTTTCCTTTTCTCAGTCAACCGTTGTAATCTTTTTGGTAAGCACTCCTCCTAGATGCTTAAGTTGTTCGGATTCATTTGTCATTCCTAAGGATTATAGGATTGCTATTACATGTTTTGGTTGCAAGTAGGGGGGTCAGTCTCCCAAATTTTGTCTTTATTCTTTATGAAAGGAGTCATTTTTTAATCTATATCCCTTTCTTGCAAAATGTTGGAGATGATAAATTGTGTTTACAACTTTATGGTTTTCCTTAATTCCAAAACTAGAATCAAAGATAAGATAGGCATTGATATCAAAGTCCTTCGTAGCATGAATCTTTTCCTGCTAAGCCAGTGAATTTAGAAGTCTTTACAACTTCATTAAGATTCTTTTGTTTTACTATGTTTTGGATGCATGATGGTAGAAGCATTAACTTCTAGAAGGATAATTGATTTCTGAATGTCCTTTTGTCACCTAATTCTATAATATTTTTTCTTTTGCCAGGAATCATAATAATTTGGTGGTTTCTTTTTATTCTAATGATAGGGAGTGGCATGATCGTTGGGGAAGCATCTCATTTCAAAGATTACAAGGAACTCTACCTATCACATATCAATTACTTCAAACTAAAACTTGATTATGAAATATTCTTGTGGCTTCCAGCTTCTATTGTTATATTCTCTTTCTGCATGAATGAAACATTTCTTACATATCATAGATATTGGGTTTGGATATCCATGGTTCTCCTCAAAATTAGAGTTCTCTATATCTTTGTATTACTCATAAGAATATCCTAGGAAAGCATGCTATCTTTCAAAAATGTGTTTGACAATATTTCTCATCGTCTCTTATTATAAATTGCTAGAGGAAGGCTTTCAATTCTTTTTTGGTCGTGTTTCCATCTTTAATGCTTGGAAAAGATTATATAATCTTCTTCCTATTTCCTCTCCTTGCAAGCTTTGATTTTACATGCACCTCATGATGTCAATATTTAACAGAACGGATATCATACTTGGAATAGATTGCACCCTTAAATTGAGGCTGAGAATGATAGTGTGTGCACAATCAGTAATAGTCTTGTTGTCATATTGTTGATTAGAGATATCATACTTGAATCAGTGATAGTCTTGTTGTCATCTTGTTGATTAGAGATATCATACTTGAATTAGAGATAGTCTTGGTGTCATATTGTTGATTAGAGATATCATACTTGAGATTCAAGTATGAAATATTGTCTTGTTGTCATATTGTTGATTAGAGATATCATACAAGACGGTGCTGACATATTGTTGATTCTATTTTTTGTATACAAGAACAATAGATTGCACCCTTAAATTAAGGCTGAGAATATAACAGTACATTCTTATTAGGATAGTGAAAATTGTTTAAGGGAATAAATGTAATTTTATAGTAAGTTATGTATTTTAGGATAGAACACACACCACAAGAAGACAGCTAACACTTTCTGTGAGAAACCCTATTCCATTAGTCCTCACAGTACTTAGGCATATGATTGAGCTAAATAGCCTCCTTATGCACTAGTGCTTTCCGAATGTGAAAGTTTACAACTTCTCTGCTTCTGCTGGTGCCATGATGAATAGCTGTTTTTAGTTGGTTTATATTTATGTATAACCTTCTGTTGGATATTTCTAACTTAAATATAATTTCTTCCTTTATCTATTTTTTGGAAGAATAGTCGACTCAACAACAACAGCTTATCTGGTCAAATTCCTGTATCTTTAACGAATATCTCTACACTTCAAGTTCTGTAAGTAACTTTTTGTGTGGTACTATTAATTTTAATCCTCTGATGAAGTTTTGTTTCTGATACCATGAATCCTTTTCCTGAACAAACATTGCAGAGATTTGTCAAACAACAACTTATCCGGGGGAGTTCCATCCAATGGATCCTTCTCTCTATTCACACCTATCAGGTTTTTTCCAGTCTGATGTTGTTAGTCTTTTGGCCGATGGTGACTTATTTTGACATTTTGCCACTATTTTATGCCAAAAAATGTAGTTTTGCAAACAATCCTCTTTTATGTGGTCCCGGCACAACGAAGGCCTGTCCCGGTGGCCCCCCTCTCCCCCCGCCACCTCCGCTTATTTTGCCAACGCCTCCTTCTTCTCCAGGTAATGATTTCCAGGTATTGAGCAATTTTTTTCTTTATGGTAATTTAATTCTGCATTATGCCTAGAAGATATGCTTTACTTTTAATACAATATTAAACTGTCCATATGATGTTACTGAAATATGGTAGTTATACTTTCAAGAAATATGGTAGTTATGCTCTACTTATAATAACATTTTTATCTATTTCAAATTAATCTCTGAAGACTCACATTTAACTACTGAAGACTCTCTGAGCAGAACCTGTTGTGAAAATTTGGTATGTAGAATTGAAAGTTATGGATATCTGATTTTTTGTACTTTCCGACTTATCATTTTTTTAAAGGAAATAGCGCCTCCAGCACTGGAGCAATAGCCGGTGGAGTTGCTGCTGGTGCTGCTTTGCTGTTTGCTGCGCCTGCCATTGGTTTTGCATGGTGGCGCCGGCGTAAACCGCAGGAATACTTCTTTGATGTACCTGGTTAGTATCTGTGCTTGCTAGCACATGTTTTATGTTGCCTATGAATACTTGGTAACATTTATAAGTTTTACAGCTGAGGAGGATCCAGAAGTCCACCTAGGCCAGCTTAAGAGGTTCTCGCTCAGAGAGTTGCAAGTTGCAACTGACGGTTTTAGCAACAAGAACATTTTGGGTAGAGGCGGTTTTGGGAAGGTTTACAAAGGACGACTTGCAGATGGTTCACTGGTGGCAGTAAAGAGGCTTAAGGAGGAGCGCACACCTGGAGGGGAGCTTCAGTTCCAGACTGAAGTAGAGATGATTAGCATGGCCGTCCATCGAAATTTACTTCGGCTTCGTGGATTTTGTATGACACCCACTGAACGTTTGCTTGTATATCCATACATGGCTAATGGGAGTGTAGCTTCTTGTTTGCGAGGTACTTGTTTTCTTGTAGTGGAGTCACTTAAACATTTTTTAATATTTTCTTAAACTTTAGAACTTCTCTTCCTTGTTAATGTTTCAAATGCATGATGACTTATCAGCTGAGATTTGCCACTGCCCCTTTGTTAATTCTGCATGAAAAAATTCATTCGTGAAGCAGATCTCAGTTTTAAATTTCTTTTTAAACCTCTAATAATCACTTGGTTTACAGAACGTCCACCGAATCAACCGCCACTTGAATGGACAACCAGGAGAAGGATTGCATTGGGATCTGCTAGGGGTCTTTCTTACTTACACGATCACTGTGATCCAAAGATAATTCACAGGGATGTCAAAGCTGCAAATATTTTGTTGGATGAGGAATATGAAGCAGTTGTGGGTGACTTTGGTCTTGCCAAACTTATGGACTACAAGGATACACATGTAACAACGGCCGTGCGTGGAACGATTGGGCATATTGCCCCTGAGTATCTGTCTACTGGGAAATCCTCAGAGAAGACTGATGTCTTTGGCTATGGGATCATGCTTCTGGAGCTCATCACAGGGCAAAGGGCATTTGACCTTGCCCGGCTTGCTAATGATGATGATGTTATGCTGCTTGACTGGGTAAGCTTATATTCTTTTCTCTTGTCTGCTTAAATATATTTATCTACTTGCTTTTATTCAGATTAATCTTATTTTCCAGCTACAGAGTCTGCTATTTTTAGCGTTCTTTTGCTGCAATTTCTCATGTTTGCTTATTTAATTTGATTTTAATTAATTGCATTTTCTAGTTGACAACATTGCAGTTTGGCTAATTCTTTTCGAGAAACCTATATGTGTTTCTTTATGTTTCTCAAAGTACTTACTTGCTTGTAATCTGCTTCATGCTGTGCTTAGGTCAAAGGACTTTTGAGAGAGAAGAAGCTGGATATGTTAGTAGATCCCGATCTTCAGGATAACTACATAGAAGCCGAGGTTGAATCTCTCATCCAAGTTGCCCTTCTCTGTACCCAAGGGTCACCTGTGGAACGACCTAAAATGTCAGAAGTGGTCAGGATGCTAGAAGGTGATGGCCTTGCTGAGAGATGGGAGGAGTGGCAGAAAGTTGAGGTTATCCGCCACGACTTGGAGATGGCTCCTCACAGAAACCCGGATTGGATTGTCGATTCCACCGACAATCTTCATGCAGTGGAGCTATCAGGTCCCAGATGACCTGCATTCCAATCGCCTAAAGAGGATGATATTTGTGGATGGCCTCCACCTTTTAAAACGACCTTTTTCTAGTTCTTAAAACCACCCATTTCTCCATCATGGCTAAGATCATAGTTCTGTATATTCATCCAGGGGCATTATATTTGTTTAGCAATTTGTCAATGTGATAGTTTTTTTTTTTTTTTTTTTCTTCTTCTGCCGGGACCTTATTGCAGGGGATAAATAGAAGGCTCTGCAGAAAATTCCGTTGGTAAAGGACACCTATTTATGGGTATGTGCAATTTGTCATCTTTCATAGCAATGTCTAATGAATTTGTCAAGAATTGGAAAATAGATAATGGCGATTTTTCTCTAGAATTTCCTTCCCTTATGTGTCTCATATGTTCAATGGTTTCAAAGCCAGTATTGAAATTGCTTCATTTTCGAGTAAGGCGTTCAACAAGCAGAAATTCAAATATTGGAAGCCTTTGCTTTTGAAGTTGGGTTAACGATAGAGTACAAAAGTGTCATCTGGAACTTTCACGATTGGGTTGAAGGCCATTACTTTTCTGGGATTGACTTCTTGTGTATTCTAGATAAGGGCATAAGTGGTTGGTCAGAGTTTTGTCGAAAGCCCAGTTAATTTGAATCTCTTTGATCCAGATATGATGCTCTAAGTTTAGGCATGTGATAAAATCGCCACGCTGTGCTCATAAATAAGGAAAAATCTTCTAATTTCAATGTTTTTAGTTGATCAACTGAGCTTTGGTTTCGGCTAGTACTGCTACCTTCACATTTTTGGCCAATGCCAATTATTATCAAAATAATCAGTGATGAAATTATTATATATTCAATGAATTATTCTGATAAAATTGCTATAATGACATTTTATCCTTCATTAATAGCAGTTTGCATTTCTTGACCTTAAGATTGCTCGGCTTAACTTCTTACAGCAGTTTTGTCGATAAGTTCTTTTTTTTTTTTCTTGCATCGCTATCAAATGCAAAATTCGTTATACTGATTGAACTTGTAAACTTTAAATAACTATATGCATTTTTTTAATTTTTATGAAGAAAAATGACGGCCAATTTTAGTTGATAAAAAATTTAAAATGGATTCTGTGTATTGATAAATAAAAATATCGATGCTGCATTCAGGTGGTGCCTCCCTAAGAATTTATTGCCGGCAGAGTTGCCGGTAGGGGTGTCAATGAGTCTGGTTGAGTTCAGTTTTGGTGTAAATGAGCTTGATACGCCATCAATAAATTTTTATCATTTGATCTGAAGGATAAGCTGTCGTTAATCCTAGATTTTATAAATAGAGCATTATTCATCTCTTAAGAGAGGAACAGATCTTGAACTAGAGAGAAACCAGAGCTTAGAGGAGTTGAGGTCTCTGAGTTTCATACCTAAGATCCAATAAATGTTGTCATCTCTCGTAGCCGCCGACCACCCTCGCTCATAACTAGTCGCCATCAGTCGATCGCCATCGGCCACCACTTGCTCCTGTGATGAAGCTACTTGCAGAATCATAATGCACGCTGTGACATCTTAGCATATGTTGTGAAACTGAAAAACACCTGATGGAGCAGTACATCACCCTATACACTATGCAACAACACCTTGAAGACAATGAGCTGGAATCTCTGAAATCGCTCAAAATTGCAATCACCCCCGACTACTGTGCAACAAGTATTACATCGTGACAAACTATGTAGTCATTTCCCGCCTGTGAACAAGTACTCATATTTTTACACATCAATTTATAGTGGGTTTTTTTGATTGGGCCAATTCCCATGATTTTTTCCCTTTAAGGTTTGGCGTCTCAACATATCACCAATATTGTATGAGTTTGGTGGATTCTCGTGCAACGTCAAGACAATAATTCATTACTCTATCACTGCGAATCTTCTAGCATACATTAGTTTGGTGTAGTATGTGAGAAAGATAATCTAAACACTGAAGTACTTGAGAGACCTGCTAAATAGCCATCAGATGTAGTGCTCACAACAACAGAGTGTCCAACTCCAATACCCATTATTTTACAGGACAATCACGGGGCTAAGGCGTCAAACCTCTGCATCTTCCCCCATTGGAAGGCGTTATCCTGTTGGCGAAGGTGCCCCAGGTTCCTTTCTAGAGGATTAAGTTCATAGGATGAAGAAATCCCTCCTCTAGCTTCTATTTGAGGCCCAACATTTGATGCCATACAGAGTATACTTACCACCAGTTCAACAACCAACAACAAATGTCTCAATCAAACGTACTCATATCGACCCCGCTCCATGTGATGGAACCATTGCCCTGTCAAGTTGGAAAAGATAAAGAAAATTTAGCATGCTTTTAGACATATCATAGGCGACTAACTGAATAAAAGTGCAAGGTTGACTGTGCCGGAGCGGCCAGTTGAATCAAAGTATAGGGTGAAATGCAACATTTAAATTGCACATAATTGGCCAATTAAAATACGTATGGCTAGGCTGAATAGTATTGGTTGGCAAATTGAATCATTTGGTGATGGACGATCAATTGAGCTGGACAATGCAGGTGGCCGGTCAAACCAACCTCGTGCGGGCGACCAAACCCGCGAGCACATAAGCATTCAAAGCAATGCAAGTTGCAATACATACCCATCATGACATACAACATGATATGATGTAAGTGATCACAATCAATAATGAGTCGAACTCAACTAATGCTCTCACATAAGAACCTATGGTTTCAGCTTTTGGATATGTGGCATAGCCGCTCCGGCTTTTGCAAGAAATGTGGAGAACTTTATCCTCCGATTTCTCGTTGTGAAGTCCATTACCATTTATAGGACGGACTAGCTATAAAGCTTTTTCCATCCTATAACCCCTCCACAATCTTGTAGAATGGGCATAGCCCTATGATATCTTTAATTTGCTTTCTTGATACCACAAGTTCCACTTATTCGTCTCACGCAACTATTCTGACACTACTTAGCCTTACTGCCGCTTCAGATGATATAATTTATGGTGAGCTACGACGCCTGATTCGAGAAAATTTCTTTTTGAGAAGAGATCGCTTCTCCGCTCGCCGCAAATTCCAGTCCTCTCCCTTAGTTGTGAACTTCTCCAACACCCCATTCCAACAGGTTTCAAGCTTCCGAACATCGATTCCTATGAAGGGGCATTGACCACTATCGAACCACTTCTTTGTTATGTGTTCCCGACAATTCTCAAGAGTTAAACTTGTACCTGGTTCTACACTCTCCCGTGGAGCACTGTCAATATCTTTAACGAGTTTGTCAGACTAGGTTCAGACAAACAAGAGGATTATAAAAAAATCATCCCGTCTCTTAGGAATTATCCAGAGTGCTTCTATAGGTTCTCCATTGAAGCTCACCAAATTCCAGGAGTGGATCAGAAGTTGTTGAGAGGGGTCATCCGTGGGGGGCTCCGCTCAAGTCCTTTCTACCTATCATTGACGCGGGAGATTGCTCACTTTTATGCTGATCTTATCTATTGTGTCAAAGCTCAAATCATTATAGATGATGTCATCAACGCACATAAGGATCAATTTGAGCAATTTAGGAGCAAGCACAAGAATATCGTTGGGGACGCTAATCAAACCTCACAATGGAATAAGTCCTAACAACAGGGGAACTACAATCTCCCCCATCGACCTGTGAACCAACAACTTGAGCCTTGATTGGAGGACTAAACGCCACTAAACTCGTTAAGCGTTAACATTCTAATGATCATCAATTTGAACCCCCTGATACCTGACTTGGGAAATTAGAACAATACTGTCACTTCCACCAGAGTTGTGATCACACCTCTGAAGCATGTAAACAAGTCAAGGAAGAGATCAAAAGACTGGCTTAATAAGTTTTTCTGGGTTGGTTTGTATAAAATAAACCAAATAGTGATAACGCTATCACTGGGGAAACAAACACAAAAACAACAACCCGTGAGTCACCAAATCATTGGAGAAATCCAAATAATTGCTAGAGGCTCATTGCTCGCTAACCAAGTCCTCATCATCGCACCGACAAAGCCAATATAGAAGAAACAATGCTTCGAGCCCATCACTTTCTGTGATTACGGTCTAGAAAGGGTCCAAGGCCCCCACCAAGACCCCCTAGTCATCAGCACAAGAATTATCAAACCCTGCTACAACATGAAGAGGATTCTGATTGAAAAGTTGGTTTGATGCTATAACAAAAATAAGATAATCTAAATAATGATTCAACTGATAGCTAAAAAAAGGAAAAAAAAAAAAAAAAAAAAAAAAAGCAAAGTCACTCAGCAGCTATTCATAGGAAACATTATATTGTGTTAACATGTTGCATTAAATTATTTTGCAGAACCAACCAACAGTAAATTAAATTTATTGCATTTGTACCTCCACCAAATTGGTCAAAATTACAGTTTTTTATTCATCGCTTAAAAGATTTAATTATGCTTGATTATTTCTCTCCTATCTTGGCATGTGCTCCATGTCATAACCTATCCCTTTTACGTTCGCACCTGGGCTGCACATGGACCCATTATCTTGGACCATCAACTATAATAAAAACAGCTTGTTTTCATTTGATTTTGTGTATATATATATATATATATATATATATATATATATTCCTGCTATCTGAGAATGTAGGCATGAATAGGGTGAGCTGGGAGTCTTGCTAGTCTCAACTGTAATAATAGTGTTTAATGCAATTTCACCGTGGCCCAAATTTTCTGAAAATAAATAAATTTTAGTCATAAAAATAATAAAAAAAATTCAAGAAATATTTACATACTTGCCTCTTAATTCTTAAGTATTTATACATCTAACACGATTTTACTTATACATCTAACACGATTTTATGTCAACTTATCATCAAAAAAAATGTGTATTTCACTTTTATGAAGTTAAAATGATGATATTTTTAATGTGATATTAATTATTTTGATAGTGTAATGTAAAAAATAAAGTTTAGGGGTTGGGTATGTAAATATATAGGAATTAGGTTTCACTCCATTATGATTCTCAAGAAAATCAGACGGTTCCAAAAAATTTCCACAAGTCAATTGATTCAGTTGATTTAATAGGAGTGCGTCATCTCGATTCAAACGACTCGAAATGTTTGATCTGAGTTGACCAGAATAGTTCTCAGGTTGGATTCAACCTATAATGTAATTTGTTTAGTTTTTAGGGTTGATTCAAGTGGACCCACTAGCCCAAATTTCAAGTTAGACAATTCCAAATTATTTTTTAGTTTTAAATGACAAACAATGCATCTTATTATGGGTCAAAAGAACATCAGCTGCTCATCCGGACATCATGTGCTTGCACAATAATTGAATATTGTCCTTCACTCCATACATGGCAATATTCTCTTTATGTATATATATTGCATTTAATTCTAAAAATATTAAAATTATCAGAACTTTATTGATTTTTTTAAATTGATTACCCCCATTTAAAGTTAACATATAAAAATGGGATTTTTACATGCATATCACACAATTCTTATGCATTTACATATCACATATTCAAACTTTTAGTATTTAGGAGCTAATTTTTAAAAGTAAAATATACATTTTAATACATAAATTTATCATATCAAAGTGTTATAACTTATAAATACAAATTTTAAAGTTTAGGTGTTAGAGATATAAATACATAGAAATCATTAGCTACACATTTAAATTTCTCATAAAAAAATATAATTTTTTTTCAAAACTAACTCTTCATCCAAAATAAATGTCAAACCCCAATCTTCTATAGTTGAATTAAATACATCATTAAAAAGTTAAAAAAAAAATTAAAATGATGATATTTTAATGAATGAGTAAAGTGTCAAATTAATTTTCGATTATTTAGATGTGATAGTTTTAGGGTTTATTTTGGGCAGCTGCAACTTATCCAGCTTATGCTGATAAACAACTTATCCTGATAATCTGCTGATGAGCAGTTGATCAAGATAAGCTGACTAGCTGTATGATAAGCTGATCTAGATAATTAGCTGACGAGTAAAATGTCCCGCTGGCCGCGTCTTTTACAAATTCCAAAACACCGTTTCTGATAAGTTGGGAATAAGTGTGAATCAAACAGGACGATGAGATTTTCAAAAAGCCGCCCGTACTTATAAGCTGCCCCAAACAGACTCTTAGTTCCAAAGATTATAGAATAATTAAATTAGTGCAAAAAAAGAAGTACAACTACATACAAACCAATTGAAACATTGCTATTTACAAATGGATCGCCCGTGTGATTTGAGATTTCATCAAGAAATTTGATGTATTAGTGAGAATTAGAAAAATGGATTAAAGAGAGGAGTTGATTTGTAAATATCAATATTATGTAATTGCCCAAAACAAAAAAAAATAGATAAATAAGGAATGGTCCACTCCATACCTAGTGTTGTCCAATCAATACAACCATACAGTGGATGTAACTATCAATTTGGAAAAAGAAACTTTTAAGTTCTTTTATTATATTCCCATGAGTCAAATTTAATTATATTATATTAAACAAATGCTATAATATTATTCTATTTATATGATTTTATATAAAAAAAATACAATATAAAAATGTATAATTGCCATCTCCATAAAAAAAAAAAAACAAAAAATTAATCTGTCATTCTATTTTATAATTAAATATTACAATATATTAATAAAATAGTTAATACAATATTATTTATTTAGATAATATAATATAAACATTAAATATGTTTAGATAAATCTTCCAAAGTTTATATTTATTATTTACACTATACTATAAATTTATAATATAAAAAAAAAGAATTTCTAGAGAGGGCCACAGGCATTGTCTACACATCATGTGCCGCCATGGAGGGGGAAATTTGTGTAGTTTCCAATGCGTCTTTCTTGTCCTCTATGACGCTCTTTCTCTGCACTCTTTACCTTTCCTCTACTTCTTCTTCAAAGCTCTCTCCTTTACCCTGAACAGAAGATAGGAGCGATTTCCTCCTTTATCTGTTCCCTTCTTCTTCGTTTATTTCTCCATTTCTACTTTATTAGGGTTTCAGTTCAGTTCAGTCCATGGCGGCGCACTCTCGCTTCCTTCTCCTCCTCCTCCTGTCCTTCGGGGTGTTAACGCAGGCACAGGTCTCTTCGGACACTCTCTCGCTGCTGGAGTTCAAGAAGGGCATTGCCGACGATCCCACTGGTGTGGTCCGTAACACTTGGAGCCCGGTGGCATGGGATTCTGCGGCGGTGGTAGACTCCTGTCCGCGCTCTTGGCACGGGATCTCCTGCGACGAATCTGGCTCCGTCGTCACCGTCGCGCTTATCGGTCTAGGTCTTTCCGGCGAGATCAAGTTCAACACCATTGTTGGACTGAGGGCGCTTCAGAACCTCAGCCTCGCGGGCAATTCGTTCACCGGCCGCCTCGTGCCGGCCATTGGGGACATGACCTCTCTGCAGCACCTTGATTTGTCTGGAAACCGTTTCTACGGCCCTATTCCCCGGAAATTAACCAACCTATGGGGCCTTGTTCATCTTAATCTCTCGTCGAACGGGTTCAAGGGCGGATTCCCAGCCGGGATCCAGAATCTCCAGCAGCTGAGGGTGCTTGACTTGCGGTCCAATGAGCTATGGGGGGAGGTGGGTGCAGTGCTCTCGGAGCTGAGGAACGTGGAGCATGTGGATCTGAGCAGAAACAATTTCTATGGTGATTTGTTCATGGATTCCAGCAACCTCTCGAGCTTGGGCAATACTGCAAAATACATGAACCTTAGTTTTAATCGGCTAAATGGGAGGTTCTTCTCAAATGATTCTATTGGGGTATTTAAGAGCCTGCAAGTCCTGGATTTGAGTCAGAATGACCTCATTGGCGAGCTCCCTTCCTTTGGTTCCCTGTTTAATCTGAAGGTTTTTCGTGCTGCAAACAATCTGCTTTCTGGGCCGATACCTGAGGATCTATTTGGCGATTCAATTCAGCTGATGGAGCTTGATCTCAGCGGGAATGGATTTACAGGTGAATGCCTTCACTTTTTAAATGTGCGCTGTCTATGCAAAATTGTAACTTTACTGGTTGGTTGTTTGATGGGGGAAGTGATTACGCGTTTGCATGATCGATTATTTCGTACTAATATGTTATTTATTTATTTATTATTATTATGTTATCAGTGGAATCAATCCGTACGAGAAAATCTGCATTGACCAACCTAAAATCTTAAAAAAATTTTGATACCTTGGAGTAAATGGAGAACTTATTACGTGTGCAGACTCTTGTGATCTTATTGGACCAAATTTTTATATTTTTTTCATCCGTTAACTACATTTTTTACTTAATTCTTTATATTTAAATGTCTAGTGCCTAAATTTTAATTTTTACATATTTAGTACTCAAATTCTTAACATCACATAAAAATATCACCATTAACAACCTTTTAAGGGTGAATGCACATTTTCATGCATAAATTTTAATGTGAAACCATTATATGTTTAAATATCAAAGCTCAGGTGTCATATATGAAGATAGAAAAGAATTGTGTAACATGTATGTGAATTTTCTTTTTTTTAATGGTGAACTATTAATCTTAATATAATTCTTGTTGGCGATCTTAAAAAATACAATTATCATTTTTAACCATTAAGCTATATGTCCTTTAATTATTTATCTTTACTTCTATGGCCTTTGATTATGACGTTCGATACTCTCCCACAAAAGAAAAAAAAGGTTTTATATGAAACCGTTTTTTACTAGAATTATTATATTGTCCAATACAAAACCTAAAAGCTTTGATATATTGGCAATAAAAAAGAAATAGAGAAAGAGAGAGAGAGGGAGATAATTGTCATAATGCCTTTATAAGACTGTATTGCACTAATCCTTTTTTTTCTAGCGAGAGAAGTGTAGCTTTGGGTGATCAAATTATTAAAATGTGTGAACGATTTAGATATCTCGGTTTTATTGTTTCAAAGCGATGGTGATATAGATGTGGATGTTATTAGTAGAATTCAAGTTGGTTGGTTGAAGTGGAGGAATGCTTCGAGCTTTTTGTTTGATAGAAAAGTACCACTTAGATTGAAAGGAAAATTTTATAAGATGTTGATGAGAACTGCAATGCTCTATGGTGTAGAATGGTGGCCTTTAAAAGAGAAGCATAATACTAAGTTAAGTGTTGCCAAGATGAGAATGGTTAGGTGGATGAGTGGCTTTACACTTAGAGACAAAATGCGAAATGAATATATCTGTGATAGGGTTGGTGTAGCTCCAATGACAGACAAAATTAGAGAGAGTCGTCTTAGATGTTTTGGTCACATTAAACGTCGATCATCTGTTGATTCGATTAGGAGAGCAGATGTTTTAGATTCGACCTATTGTAAGAAAGACAGAGCTAGACTTAGGAAGAATTGGGCTTATTGTATAAAAAATGATCTTATATTGTATAAAAAAAATGATCTTAATTTATGAGAATTAAATGAAAATATGACACTAAATATGACATAATGGAGAAAAACGATTCATGTAGCCGAGCCCACTTAGTGGGATTAAGGCTTTGTTTTTGTTGTTGTAGAAACTATGATGATATTTTGTTATTCCTATGTTGGAAAATTTTGACCTAAATTTCGTGTTGATGTTTTGAATGAATTTTCGCCATACCGTTGGTTTTCTTTTCTATTAGCCCGTTCTTTTGCATTGAGCTTGTGTGTCTAGGCATGAATATCCTCTTCAAGATTTCCATTAGCTATCATTTTTGTTGACTTAAATCTCAAATTATGTTGAAATATTGTGAATGATAAAAATTTTAGTACAGTTAAATTTAGAAGGTCTAATATCGATACAACTATACAAGTTTATGTGTGATTCTGATAAGAGCGGTGAAATGGGAAGTGGAGAAGTTCCAAGATAGATCATAGGAACTATTATGACCTTGAAGTATATTAATATGAATTCAAATGTGAGTGTTAGAGAGAAAATCAAAAGCATAGCAGAGAGAAGACATGGGAATGAGAGGAAGCCTGAAGAGGCTAAGTGTCTATTTAAGGTTGCTTATAGGGTTATATTTGTCTTTTCACAAGGCTTACCACCGGATATATAATTGATTTACTATCCCTAATGTGCTCTAAGGTTTACTCCTTCATTTGGAGACACATCTCTGGAGATGTCGAGAGTTCCTAGAGCTTTTGAGCGGTTGAGAGGTAAGTCATTCAAGCTTAAGACCAGAGTATGTGTGCCCCTCTCCCCCCCCCCCCCCCCCTTCAAGGTGATGATTGGAGGATCCGATTGTTAGCTTGTTCGTTGGGTTTTTGTGTCTTGTAATCAGTAGAGGCTTGTTAGTGTTGGAGCTCGCTACAGAAGTCCCGAACAACGCCTACTCCCAATCGCGAATGGCGCCTACTCCCGTTCGCGAATCGACGCGATCTTTCCCGCCTCCGCTTCTCCTATATTCGCGAAACCGCTTAAGAAGGCTTGGATTGCTCGCTCGCGAATCACTCGCTCTCCTGTCTCCGTCTTTCCAGATTCACGAAATCCACGAAATCCGCTGAAGAATACTTTCTTCCTTAGTTCGCAAAACAGAAACAGAAAGGAGATTTTCTTCTTTGGTTCTTCTTGAGACTTACGGGAAGCATAAGAAGGAAGAAGAAGATAGTGAAGAAGAATGTGTTCTTCTTGGTGACTTGTGGCAGAAGAGAAATAGGTTTTCTCTTGTATATTTTTCTTCTTCTTCGGTGTTCTTGCTCTTGGGTGAATCTTGGTGTAAAGAGAAAGATCAAGTGAGAGATCCTTCATTGTCTTTGTGATCAAACTGGTGTAAATTTTCTCAATTAGTAAAATCCTCTGCAACTCCGTGGATGTAGGCAATTTGCGAACCACGTGCCGAACCACGTAAATCTTTGTGTTCTTTTGGTGTGAATTTTCTCGTGCTATTTTATTCGCTTCGTCGTCGATCGTTTTAAATTTCATATACACCACAAAAACTGGTATCAAAACCAATGACTACAGACGAAGTGAAGATTTCAGAGATCGAGAAGTTCGATGACACAGATTTTGGTTATTGGAGGATGCAGATAGAAGACTACCTCTATGGGAAGAAACTTCATCTTCCGTTATTGGGGAAAATACCTGAAAGAATGGATGAGACTGAATGAAATCTGTTGGATCGACAGGTTCTGGAGGTTATTTGATTGACCCTATCGAGGTCCGTTGCACACAAC